ACTGCATGCATTTAACATTCGCATTATAATTCTAATTATTCTAATCAAACATTGCTGCTCATGATGGATTTGCATTCTGCTCGTTTGATATCATCCAAATAAATGATTGTGTACAGATTACAATCTGCAAGACAAGTACTTGTTATGGATACGCCACAGTTTCAACAATAACAATAGTTTTACGCTGAATCATTGCACATACGTTCAAAATATATAAGAAAGCATTTAAAGCGCTTCATTAGACTTTGCGCAACACACCAAAAACCTGCTGACGTTTTTTTAAGTAATTATAGATTAAAACCTACATAAATAAACACACACACACACACACACACACACAAACACAAAACAAGTAAAAACACTAAATATAGTGGGACATGTCGCATCATTTAATACCCTACACCACTCTACAATATTTCATATATCGAATTTTCAAAATAGCGTATTACATATGGGAAGTGGTCGAAATACTGGTCCGATCCGAATCGTTTTGATAAACATTCGTCCTTGAGCCAAATTACGCTAGTATATCAAATTTCATCAAAATATCTCGAAAATTGTGAGTCTTAGGTTGAACACAAGGATACAGGCGCAGTCTTCAGGCGTACAAACAGAGAGACAAGCTTAGATCTTTGAGATGCTTGTGCACTGCCCACCGTTAAACCCTATAGTTATTTATGGAACGACTTTTCAAAATAGGGTGTTGTATATGGGAAGTGGTCCAGTTCGGACAATTTTCAATGACGTCATCCTTAGGTCGAAAGGCACCAGCATACTAAATTTAATCAAAATATATCAAAAATTTTGGTCTTTTAGATTAAACACGAGAACATAACAGGCACAGGCAGGCGAATAAACGAACGAACAAGGTTAAATCGAAAAGTTGGGTCTATCTCAAATTCATCTACATCCGCTTAAGTGATGTAGGGTACACTACTATTCACTATTATTTCTTATATGATATGCCTGCAAAGAAGATAATACTATTTTTGTTATTGTTTTCGTAAGACCACGAGTTATTATTGTCCTATTATCAGGGACACCGGCAGAATCTTCAAAATGCAAACTATCGTAACATCAACAACAGTAGCTAGCTATTAATTACAAGTCATTTAATTGCTTGCTCTTTTATTCTCATTGTTTGTTCATTGGGTAAGAATTCTAGCTAAGCTGTTACACTGTACCAAACGTTCAAGATGCAAAAGCACATAGGATTCTGTGTTTTTAAGTGAATATACACTATATATATATATATATATATATATATATATAAGAGTGCATATGACGTGTATATACGAAAAAAAAAATATATTTACTTCTTCGGTTATTGCCGTCTTAATAAAAATACGACAAGAGAGATCAAACTTATATTTATGAGTCGAGACAATAATGAACCTTTAGGAGAGGAGAAGAAATCTAAGCTTTCATGCAATGCGTAATTGTATTAACCAATGATGCATTTACTTTATTGAGCTCAACATTTTTTAGACTATCTGATGTTATATTAGAGTGACTTATAAATATTATTAAAAAAAAAAGATAAATAAATAAAAATATTGTGTTACGTAAACGATAAAAGAAAAGTAAAATAAGTAAGAATGCTATGATCGGGCGAGGCCAATCATTCGCTACCCTACACTACTACGCGTCAAGGTGGTCCAAATTTGGAAAATTTAATTTACTTATCAAAGCTTTTATTATTTTCCAGTTGCTTCAGTCGGCTTTATCGCCAAAGGGAGACTTGGTTTCTTAAGAGTCCCTATATACAGATCTATGTGATCTAAATTTTCTACGATTGATTTACTATGGATAAATTTCCATAGTAAAATATTAAAAATTAGGCCTTTTTTGGCATGTAAAGCCTTAATTTTCGTCAATACCCTTGCGGGGAATTCACGAATAATTAATTAATTAATTAAATATTTTTTTTTTGTCAAGCTATTATTATGAATGAATTTTGATTAAGAAGTATTGAAAATTAGGCTTCTTTACCCTATGAAGATTCCGTTTCCCCAAGAAGGTTTATATGGCAAGGAGTTGAAAAAATTGGCCTATCCGATCCAAAGTCTTCACACCAATCTAGAATGCCGATTACTGAAGATTTTTATGTCGCGAAATTCTAAAACTTATACGGATTTATCAAAATAAGACGTTACGTGGGGAATAGTCGAAAGAGTGGTCCGAACCGAAACGTTTTCAACAGGATTCATCTTTGGGACAAAAAACATTTGCGTAGCAAATTTCATCAAAATATCTTGAGAAGTACGACCCGTAGGTTGAATGCAAGAATATAGGGGCAAATATGAGACGTATGGGCGGACAGACCGACAGACAGGCTTACAATAACAGATTGAGCTATTTCAAATCCTACACCCGTCCTTAAGACCGTAATGTAGCCTGTACTCTGTCTATGTGTGACTCAAGGTATAATCGTAATGATATGTAGTGATGTTTACACAATGAAAATTGAGAATATTTATGCATAGACATGAGCATATAATGATATTATGTAATGTACACGTATTGATGTGATGCAAATTTTGCTATTAGGTTATTTATTTTCAAAAATCAATAAAACTCAATACGCTCTTAAATCTTTAAACCATTAAGTTGCTTCTAAACAAGGCATGCTTACAAAATTATTGCTTCCAAGTGTAGTGAAAAGATGATCTATCAATGAAAATAACCAAAATTGAAATTCTATATTGACTGAGATATTGTTTCGATCATCATTTAATATAAACGCTTCCTATTCTGTTATGTCAAAGCTTATTCTTTTTATGCAAAAGCCCTATGAGCTGGACTGGGATTAGTAAAAACAAACAGAAAAATTTAAACAGACCTTGAAGAGCCACATCTAGTCAACAATTACAACTTTCCGTTAAGTCTTCCAACTTCCACAGCGAATATGCACACAGTTGTTGTTAACGTTACTTTCCAAATATTCCATTAATATATGCGATTGGCTGGAAAAGTTTGAAGAATGTGTTTCGAATTTTCCCCTTTATGTCATTATACCTTACCTATACCTACTTATGATACAAGGTATACTAAGTTTTTACGGATGTATTTGACACCCAGAAGGGCTTAAGGTACAGGCATCTTTCTGTTATACGGATCGATTTACAATCATTTTCTGAATCGGTCTAAGTTTGCCTGTCCGTCTGTCCGTCTATTCTTGTTCATTATGATGAAATTTAGTACACAAATGTTTTGACCTAAAGACAAAGGTTATTAAAAATGGTTCGGCTGGGACCATTTTTTCGATCACTCCCCATATAACGGCTCATTTTGTCAAATCGTTGTCAAGAAAATGTTGAAATTTTTAAAATTTCGCAATAGAAATCACTTAGTAATAGCATTTCGAAGTTCTAAATTGATGTGTAAACCTTAGATCGTATGGGGGTTTTTTATGCACCCGTGCCGCACAACCATTCCTACGGAAAGTGCATTTGTATACAATAAAAACGCGCAAATTTTCAACACCTCTTGATAAAAATTAGTTCATGATAATAATTTGCCATAAAAATTAACTTTACAAAATTTCGACCATGTTGGTCTATTTTTTAACTCTCATCCCGTATAAAGATTCTAATGAAAAATAATGCTTTATACGCCAAAAAGATCTATTATTTAATACTTTATAATGAGAGCTTGTCCTTAGTAAATCAACCGTAGAAAATTTGGACCCCTTGGATCTGTGTATAGGCGTGCTCATGAAAGCAAACTCTTCCATAGCGACACAGATTCCTTGGTCTAATAAAAATATGAGGTTAGACAATGTGCTTGATTTATTTACATGCTTGCCTACAATCAAGAAGAAACTGAAAAATACCGAACTTTTTTTCATACCTTTGTCTACAGCCTACTATCACAAGAAGATATTTTCGAAAACCGGTGATCCCGACATTAATTAGGATCACTTTCATGTACAGTGAAAAAAAGATCACAATTGGTTTACTAATACATTTCCAATCAGCGATAAAATTTGATCCAATGTGCGTTAGAATAAAATCGATCGATCACGCAAATGGTTCTTACGAATATTTGCAGAGCGGTGTTTTATCGGATCGAAAATTATAGAGGAACATTTGAAAAAATTGTCCGTGTTTTCCGAAATAATTGCAGTTTCTTCTACATTGTGTAGCGTGTATATGAACAGATCATTTTTAAACTTCATATTTTTAATAAAACAAGAAATGTTTTGTACCAAATTTCAGCTGAAAGTCAAGATAGAAAGTGTTCTACCTTGGCTTTTGCGACTACAACGATTCACAACAATTTACTAACAATTTGACGAGTTTTCGTTGAAATATGTGTACAGCGCATCTAGAAATAAGAAAATGGGCGTGAACCACAAAAAAAGAGAACAGAAAGATATCGACTTCGTTATCTTAAATTTTTTAAATCAAAAACCGGTCAAATTGACAGATGTTGTAAATCTAGCGTTAACAATGCATCGTTAACCATCTATTTGTTAATTTAATAAGTCGTATATCAAAGGAAGGTTACGAACCAAGCATAATTCAAATATGTTAATCCGAAATTAAACGAATTCAGTAGATGTCAATTTTTCAAATGAAAAGAAAAGCAAAAAAAAAAGCAACGCATCATATATATATTCCAATAACCGAAAATTTCCTGCATATAAACGTCATTTCCGCAATTGTTATTAATTTCAATCTATATATACATAGGTCAGTGCGCGCAAATAACTCTCCCATAAAATCTCTTTCACTCTCAGAGTGCATACAAAAAATACTCTAAAAGCAAATGATTTGTTGTGCAGAGTTGCCGTTAGCTTGCTTTTTATTCTCGAAATAAGCAAAAAAAACGGAAATATTTTTAATATTTAAATATTGTCGAAATTTATAAATTATATTATAAATTAAAGTTTTCAATTCGATTGAAATAAAAATAAAGTTTCTCCTCTAATAGTTTGCGATTTTGTTATTACAACTTTTATTAGCCAATACGGCAATCCTATTTATGAAGAGAAACATATGTTGTTGCTTGATTGCAAGTCAACAGCTGGTGCTGTATTGGTTAGCATTAGACGAATTTTTCATATAATTTAATAATTTCACAATGATGAATAGATTGTGCTTAATTAAATATCCTAATACGTTAAGGTAAATAAAATCAATTTTTCATTTCCTTCGCAATTATATTAATTTTATTGCAATTCTGTTTTCTTTTGTTTTTTTTTTTTTTTTTTTTTTTTTTGTGCAATACAAGTTTGAAAAATATTTGTTTTTTGGAATCGAAGAACACTTCTTTACTCACATATTCAAGAGCGTGGAAATCAACAAAAAGTACTAGGAAATCAACAGAAGCAGAAGCTATTGAGGAGCCTATACCATTTTTTGGTAGCCACGCATCTGTTTGGCGTGCGAAGGCTACACGTAGCGGTGGTGCCGATGAGTATCTTTGGTATCAACCTTATGTTATTTCAGGCAGTTTGGCAATTTTTCTATTGTATTTTTGTGTATTTCGAGAGGAAAGCGATATTGATCAGAAATTAGATGGTGATCTCTTTCAACATGTTAAAGGCTTAGAGGAGGTACAATTAACAATGAATTATAAATATAATAAAGAACATGGCTTAGATACTAAAGATATTGAGAAACGTCTCAAAGAGTTAGGTGTTAATATCACTGAATTAAATGCTAAGTCGGCAGTTAGCAATTAAATGGAAACCGTATATTAAAAATTAAAAAATATTTTGTAATAAGTTTTATTGTGTTTTCGTTAAATAAAAAAAAAAAAAGTTTAAATATTTAAAAAATTTGTCGTTTTATTGCTGATAATATACAATAATTTTATGAGCGCAATTTCGTAATTATACTTTATATCTAGAGAGAAGACACCATCGCGCACCGGCTATGTGTGTCACTGAGAAATGGAGAAAAATTTACTTTTGCAATATCTTTTCAAAAAAAAAAAAAAAAAATCTCTCTGTTATTTAACATATGTTGACGTTTTATGTTTAAAATTTTTATACAGTATTTCTTTATTGATCAGATTATGTTCAAATTCGGTTCAGAAAACTTTAACTTTCTTTCTAATAAGAGAACACATGGCATGCATACGTAATTCTTATGTTGCTATTACGCCCATTGCCAAAGTCTCCTACTAAATATATTTAATTAAAATGTGGTGGCTATGCCAATTGCACGGTACACGGGTATATTAAATTTGTGCGGATGTATGCAACATACAGGACGAGTTGGTACGGACCCACCGCTTATTATACCAATCGATTTAGAATCACTTCCCGAATCGATGTAAGCTTGTCCGTCCATCTGTCCATCTTTAGAATGTTTTGGTAAAGTTTGGTACGTCTAATATGTTTTCGCCAAAGAACGAACGAACGCTATAGAAAATATTTCGGCTCGGGACACTTTTTCGGCCATTTCCCATATAGTGCCTTATTTTAAAAAGTCATTATATGAATAACTGTGTGGTAGTGTAGGGTATTTAGCGATGGTGAACCGCCAATTATATTATCAAAATTCTATCTTTTGTGATTTTGTTATTTGTAGCAGAAATTTGGCGGATATACATATATTCTTGAATAATGTTTCCCGCTTCACATAACGTATATGAAGCAAAAATATAAAATAATTCCCAAAAAATGAAAAGTTTTCAGATTTTTTTATGAAGTTTGATGGACATTTTTAGGGTTTGCAGCAATCAATCACAACCTTAGCGCATTAATTAATCAATTGTTGCGATCGTTTAAAGCTCGATCCTTTTCTTTTTAAATAAACAAAATAATAAGTGTCGTCTGCCAATTATTGGATTTCTGTTAACATTTCGATTGTTTATGAAAATGCGAACGTTTCATCTTGTGTTGACATTTGTAAACATTAAAACTGAAAACAAACCTTGTATATATTGACAGAAGTTTCTTATTCCTCTTTTTAAATAGTTTATCTTATTTATTATGAAATGATTATTTTGCATAAAAATTATTTAAATAAAATAGAAAAAACAAATTGAAGAAAAAATCGTATATCCACGGTTTTAGATTAATATTATTTATTTATGCAGTTACAAAACCTACACATGTGTAAGTAGTTAGTATCTCAACTTAATTGCTTTTGTTTTCTTGCTTTGTATCGCGTACACAAGTCTTAAATTCTATACATATGCCTGTAAATGTATGTATTTGTATGTATATATATACTTGTTATACGATATGCTTAAAAAAAAAAAAAATCGCTTAAACTAGAAAATTAAACAAGAATTTTTGAAATAAATTCATTTTTTTTTTTTTTTTTTTTTTTTTTTTTTTTGCTTATTTGCTTTTTCACTAAGGTTAGTTTTTATCGTTTTGAGTGATTATTTAAAATGTAAAATTCAAACTAAAGAAAAAAAAAAATAAAGTAAAAAAAAAATCTATAAAATATTTTAAATGCTATGTAGCAACTATCAAGTGTTTATAGAAAATATATTCACGGTAAAGAGTTGAACAGCAATAGCTGTAAGTTACGCTGCAGAGCAGTAAATGTATACACACAATGTTGCAAAGAATGTATATTCTGATAAATATTGAAAA